GGGGGGGGGGGGGGGGGGGGGGGGGGGGGGGGGGGGGGGGGGGAGCCAGTTATCCAGACCCTCAGATAAGAGGGCAGTCTCCAAAAATGTTTTTTTCGGCCTTTCAGTCCTCAGTTTGGTCTGAAAATAAGGTGGGGGGAGGGGGCCAGGGCCCTTCCCCTGGATCCGCCACCGATAGGGTGCCAGACAAGACCTGTTTTGCTGGCCAAACATTTGAAGTTTGACAGCCGTTAAAGCAAACTGTCGCTCCAAAGGTTACATTGTTTACATCTTTTTCATCAGCGCATTCTGCTCATCTTTTATTTTTCTTAATTTTCACTAATATTTCTTGCTCAGAAACAGCAGACTTGCTTTTAAGAATTATTCTTTGGAGTTTTCCAACTCCAGAAATTCTTCTTCAAACATCTTGCGTTGATTGAAGACAACAAACACAGGGTACAAACAAAGCGACCTTTACAGTCTGCCATTCAGGCAAGCTGTAGCTAGCATTTACTAGCCCACTAGCCCCAAAACCCTTTTTGATTAACAGGATTGATTATAATCCTTATGAAATTGAATTTCCCCCAAAAATGGCACCTGCCCATCAGGCAAGTTAAGAACAAAGATGACTAGCCTGATAGCAAAATCCACTAGCCCCAGGCTATCGGACACACCTTTCTTTGCAAGCTGCAAAGAGCTGCCTTCTTTGCACATGAACACTAGTCTAACACCACCCCAAACTTCAACAGTTTGGCGGCAAAGTTTTCACTCAATAATAGAACATGTTTTTTCATCAGGTGTACCACTTATATCCAGCCAACAGTATTTTCCCTTGACCTTGTTTTGACAATGTCCCCACTATCTGAGAGCTTGGCACAGGCTACTAGTAAAGGTTTAATACTCCATTTTTCAGTTGCCCCAAGCTCCTATTTTAAAATGAGGCGAGGTGCGAAGCTGTTGATTGGAAAATGATTTTTGATTCTCACATGTAAATAAAACTTATTTTCACAAGAAAGGTTTTGCAATGTTCCAGTTAATTGTTTCAAGTGGAGGTCATGTAGACCATCTGAGGGGTCACCAAGACCATGTGCTAATTTTTTTTCGTCATATTTAACTTTAATAGCACTTGTATATGTCTTTCATTGGGTCAGGAAGCCATCTTTGTTGGGTCATTGATGCGAGACCCGTCTCTAATCTGGAACACTGTTTTGCTCTAAGCCTCATTTTGAAAGTGATAGTGTTCGGAACTTGGAAATGACCTATTAATGTGCCATGTTCAGCAGTTTTAGACAACAGTCCACCAGTCAGCCCACAGCTGGCCAGTCTACAATCAGGGCTTCTTCTGATACTATCCAATTCACATCCAGTGGCACAATCCATAAGAAATCTCACAATCAAAATATTGGAAACATACTGCAGAGCATATGAAACATTCATTATTTTGCTGTTTTTGTGGTTGCTCAAGCTCCATAAATGTTTGAACTTTAAGATATCACTGTACCTAATTGTGAATGTTCTCTGTTTAACTGGTTTACTTTTCTGTCTATTCGCATATACTTTGCAAACTCATCCTAAAAATAAAGGGGATAAAGGAAAAAACAACAATAATAACCATAAATAATAATAATAATAATAATAATAATAATAAAAATAGTCATGACTCATCATTGTCATCATCATCATCATCATCCACATCCTCTACATATTACACACTTTTCACCAAGATCACGCAACTTCTTAATTAAAGCAGTGCTGATCTCACTAGTACATAGGCCAATTAGGCTCCAACTATATAAATGCTTTTTAAATGCTCTTAAAAGAGGTAACAAAAAGAACCTTCTGAACAATATATTTGTAACTATTGTAGCATTGTTGTAGGCAATACATAAACATAACTCAGGAAGGCTCCCGGAATTATATGGCTCCAAATTCCTGTAAGTAAGTAAGTAAGTAAGTAAGTAAGTAAGTAAAGACTTTATTTTATGAGGGTTAGCATGAAATAGCCGGGGCTAATAAACTTGTGGCCCTCTAAATAATAAATAAATAAATAATAAAAATAACAAATGAGTATACTAAGCTATAAAAAATACAAGGTAAAAACCAAAGAATACAGATGCCATAGAATCTACTAAATTATTTAAAAGATAAAATATAGCATTATAATCATCTCACAATTCATCAAGTAACTTAAATAGAAAAATGATCAAGATTCTGCTGTTGTTTAAAAAATTCATTCCACAATGCTCTTTTTTAAAGAGTCAACTGAGTCCCTTAGCCTTACAGGCAAAGATAAGCTGTTCCATGCTTTGCAAGTTGTTACGGTAAAAGTTCTGCCTCCTTCTGTTTTGCAATTATACCTCGGAGAGGTTAGGTTAAAATTACAGTACCTGGTTTGTCTACTATGGATGTTACTGTTTAATGTAAGTAGATCGTTGAGATAAACAGGGACGTCACCTTGTAATCGCTTGTAAGCAATGATACATTTAGATATCAAAGCGTCTTTATAAAAAGGCAACCATTTCAGCCGATTAAACAAGGGAACTGATGGTGCTTGAGGGGGGGCATTCAGGATTACTCTAGCTGCTCGTTTTTGGAGCTTTAGGACCCGCACAAGGCTTTCCTTATCACAATTAGTCCAGAGGACACTTGCATAATTAATCACTGGCCTGATCAAAGCATTGTCTTGAAATTAGACAAATCAGCTGGTATGTTTAGAAAGAAAGAAATTTTCAACAACCTTACAAAACAAACAAACAAGCAAAAAAAGACAAAAAGAAATAAAGAAATAAACACAGGTAAATTTCACTGCAGTTATAAATTAGAACAAATTTTGTGTTCGGAACTTACAACTTTTAAATCTGTTGGTACCGGTACCAAAAAAGAAAAAATTCCTAAAGTGCAGCATTTTTCCAATAAAAGTCCAGCAAAAGTAGAAAAAATGTGGAAGAGAAGAGTGAGGGTAAAGGAAGGGAAAGGAAAGAGAAAAAACAAAAGTGAAATTGAAGTCCCAAAGCTACGTGTTTTGTGTAAATCCCTTACATAATACAATTTTTTCCTAAAATGAAAGCACACAGTTTTTAAATTAATAAAATATTGTAAACATTTAGGTTTTGCCACTTTTTGCCTAGATGGTTCAACCATTACCTATGTAGCATCAAGTTGTGTTAATTTTTGGACAAGCAATATTATTACTCTATTTACTGTAGAAGGAAAATTAATAGGTTAACATCATAGTCAATATTTTAGTTACCTGAACACTGATTTTAAGCTGATCACTTTTCAGTTGAATGATTGTTTCTTTCAGTTCATTTTCTCTCTTGGCTACACCTGTAGAAATGGCTGCCAGCTTTGCACGAAAAAAAAAACAACAACAACAAAAAAAACAAAAGAAACAAAAGAAAAGAAAAAGAAAACCATGAGGATGATTCTTGACTCAAGTGAAAATTTACAAAAACAAACTCAAACTCAATTCATAAGAATGGGTGACTATAAACTTAGCGTATTAGTTGGTTCGAGGAATTCGTAGGGTTAAAATGGCATAACCAATTTAGTTTAAAAGACAAAATGACATTGTTTTAAACAACAAATTAATGTGGAAAGTGTAGATCTAGCTATGTAGATCCTGCACCACTCACCTGAAAATTGGCGTTGCTGCCAAATAAATTAATAAACAAACAAATAAATTTCAATAAATAGAAAAATAAATATTAAATACAAAGGTAGCACATCTACTTAGTGGTTCTTCGTCTACCTGATTCTTACCTGATTTCGAACGGAATAGGAATTTGGAAATGTTGGTTGTAAGGGAGAGGAAAAAATCAGAGTACCCGGAGAAAAACGTATCGGGGTAAAAAATAATTTATGACGTCGACGCCAAGATTTAAACCCACATGACCAACTACAGTGATTCAATTTTTTAAAGGCCTATCAGGCTTGAAGACCAGCTGATAGAAGAACTCGCAATCTTCCTTTAAGTTTGACAGAAAATGAACGAAAACTTCAAAGTAAAAGCTTCTCCGTACAAAACCTAAGCATAAGAGCAAAGATCTTACCCAATCAGCTACTAATCTGGATAACTTGTACAGAATCTTCATCACCAAAACATACGCAAACACAAAAACCACCATCGAGGCCGCCATTTTGTTTTTAGTTCGAGTCCAAGTTTCCCCGCGCTCTCTATAGGTCCCAGGTTCTTGATCAATTGCCCGGTGATGGTAGTGAAAGCAAAGAAGTTTTTTTTTTCTTTCTTTCTCTCTTTTTTAAGACAGAGGTTGACCTTTTTGAAAAGTTTTTGGAGAAGAATAAAGGAATTACTTAAACAAATCATGCATTAATTCACTATAATAAAATGGATATGCCATTTACGTCAATAAGTTGCTAGATTATTTTGACGCATCGACGGAATATTTGTATCACCATGGAACAAGCTTAAAAGATTACCTGAAATTAATTTCATGCAGAATAGCCCCTTTAAACTTTCCCAGGTTACTTTTACTGTATTTTGCTTATCTATGAGGCGAAAGTAGTCAAACTTCAGCTTTTTTGGACAGCAAGCGGAAGGCTGGCATTGGAAAAAAGGTCGGTATTTTACCTAATTGTTTATTCAGCAATATGTTGACGATTGGAACTGGACAGAAATACTAAATTTTTCTAGATCAAGTAAGCGTCCAAAAAGAATGTGAATGCTTTTATGCACGGCGATTACTTTCGTGAAGGCATTGGTGGCATTTTATTGTGAATGACAGTCTCCACTTTTACTTTAATACAACCATCTCGGAAGAAAGTTTCTTGGTGCTATGGTGTGTATTTGCGTCAAGGAATGACAGAACTTATTTATTTTCGACACTGTACTGTTTAAGCAATTCTTAGAAAAGTTATCATCATCACTGAGTTCTCACAATTGGATGGAAGGATGAAAAAATCAGTCGCGAGTGAGAATTTATGATAAATTAATTCAGACAGTAATTTTAAAAGTTATTTAAAAAATTGTGCATTCTGTTTGTTTTAAAAAGCAATTGAAA